ATAGAACTTATAATCACATTTAAAACCCGAAAATATGATATTGATATGATATTCTAACAGATAGATTTTAATTCCGATAGTTATATTTGTAGTATAATACGCACTATCGCATAGTTATACGTCCGAACATTGAAACTAAAAAACAAAATAAGATCGCACTTTGAAGAGAGGCGGTATCTTCGGTCATTTTTAAGTCTCTGACTTGGTATCTAGTATTATTGGTCGAAGAGTTTCGATGTAATTTTATGACACTTATCACGTAGCCGATATTAAATTAAGTATTATGTTGCTTGTCTAATGTTGTAGGAAGTCTAAATAATAGTTTAAATGTGTATTATCTAAATAAAAGCTTTATTAATACCATATTTATTTAAAAAAAAAACACTTAAATCATGACTTCAGCTTCCTTTATAACGTCATAAGGGTTAGTTTTTAGATGTCTTTGTAGTAATTTTCTAAGACCAGTAATGTGAGGATATTTAAAAATTGATGAAATAAATCTTCCACGGTTCGTTTTTTGAAGAATTTTCAGGTAAAGTCTTCACGATATTTATAAGAGGCCTATGGGAACTACTTATTATATATTATACTATCTCCATAAATCAGTATTCTGTATTAGCGATGGGCGATTTTTACTTAAAAAATCGAACTAGTCGATTGTTCAGCTTAGTCGATTACAATTGATGTTATTCGATTGTTGTTAACAACTAAACCTTGCGGCGGCAGTGGGCGGCTATGACACGCTGCGGTTACCGTAATTACTTTATCGATTAATTTCTAGCGCAGTGCCATATTACTATCATCATCATCATCACCAGCCCTTTTACGTCCCCACTGCAGGGGCTCAGGCCTTCCTTATGGATGGTTAAGGAGGATGGGCCATGACCCTCCACGCTGGCCCAATGCGGATTGGAGGGTATTGACGACTGCAAATGCAGCCGGGACCAACGGCTTAACGTGCCTTCCGAAGCACGGAGTATCTCGAGATAATAATTTTTTGGTCACCCATCCCGTGACCGACCCTTGCGAAAGTTGCTTAACGACTACAATCACGGGCCGCGGCGCTAATCCACTACGCCACCGAGCTACTCATCATATTACTATACCCATGCGTATTACTTATGGTGCAGTGCGGCGGGCGTGCGCTGCGCTCACGGAACATAAAAAAAGGGTGGAAGTGCAATATGCTACAATTTATTCCAGAACCACTGTCGCCAAAATCACACAAGTAAACCGATAATTATATATTCTACTACAAACAAACAATGCATTTGATTCGTTGCATATATTTCAGTCAAAATAAGCTTAACTCATAAATTTTGTAATTAAAAATGTATCTTATCACATTGTGATAGAATGTATTCTAAGGTAGCTGATTTCCTAGATAATTTTGTCTAAGAAATTCCGTTACTCACCAATAGGTGGCATTATTTAACAATTCAAACCATTATGAAACTTAACTTAAAAAAGTTAAGGTTTACATTTGCAGAATGCAGCTGCTATCCGGACAGTTATGTCGAAGAAATTCCGTTACTCACCAATAGGTGGCATTATTTTATCTATTTAAACCAATATAAACTTAATCTCTTTACGTTAAGGTTGAATTTTGCGAAATGAAGCTGCTATCCAGCTACTCGGCTAGTGAAGTGTAAAAGAGCACATTTAAATAAATTATCGATATCGATGAAAAATAAATCACTAAAACACTTAATTATGAGTTACGAAATAATTCCTGTTTTAGGGTTCCGTAGCAAATGGCTAAAAACTTATGGGGTGGTTGGGACCCAAACTCGCGGCAGTAAAACCTGCAAAGGTCCGCCTGGGTCGCGACTACCCTTAATCCGGAGTCTGGCGCCATAACAGCTTGCTATGTGTGTTCCATCTGTGCGTGGAAGTTCCAGTGCCTTCAGGCAAATTTCAGCGCTCATAGCATGAGCCGTGTGAGAAGCGTTAGTCAGCTCTGTTGTAACATAATAATCTCGCTGTCGCGTTTGGGCCAGTATAGAATGAGCGGGACGGCATGATGATTTTCTCACGCGCGCAGTGACATACTGCTTTCACACAACTCATTGCATCTGTCCATTGCACTGCCAGTTGCATCTGTCCATTTTTCTTTGATACTAGCATCTTTAGGAAACCTAAAAAGTGCAGTTTATAATTTAGCAGGAAATAATTTAATATTGTATGTAAATATGGGTAAATCGCCTTGATAAACTTGCTCCTTGTGATCAACAAAAAAACTTTTTATCATTAGTTTGCATTTAAAAAATAATCTAAAATATCGATAAAATCAGTATCGACCTAATTATGTACGTCCCTAATTGAGTAGCATGGAAGTTACTAGAACAATTTAGTTACACTATCAAATTCAAAATGCACTTTATTGCAATGTGTTAAGGTTTATTTTTGGCGTTTATTTTTATAAAATTATTAGTAAAATGAAATTATGATAGTTTTTATCTAAAAATTAATAAAATCGAACTTACCGATGATAGGAAATTCCTCCATTATGAAGATTGTTTCTTGTACTATTATTTTTGCATTCCAAAACAGAACAAAACGGCATAATTATGTAAAAACAAAAGTAAAAAGAAAAGATTGACAAGACTACCGTTTCGCTGCGATGAAACACCACGACTGAGATCAGTTAAGCCTTACAAAGCTTATTTGTGGCACGCGCTCCACGCCTACTTTGCACTTCCACTTGTTTTTTGTGTTCCGTGGCTGCGCTCGACTGCAGCTATTATGTGATTGGTGCTAGTACGTTATTTAGTTGTCTGTATAGAAGTTAATCCACTGATTTGAAGGCACATCCATTCGATCGTGGCAATGTAGTTTTTACTTATCTACACTATCGAGCGAAGAATAATGTTGAAATATAATACAAACAAACCTTGAAATGTTCCATCGCTAACCTAATACATCTTTTTAGGGTTCCATACAGAAAGGGTAAAAACGGGACCCTACTACCGAGACTTCGCTGCCCGCCCGTATGTGTATCGCCAGGCTGTATTTCATGACGGTTCATGAGCCGTGATAACAAGACAGTTGAAATTTTCACAGAGAAAGTATAACTGTTACCGCTACATTTAATGACATTTAATGGGGCTCCAATACAACAAACGTGTTCGATGCCCGAGTTCGATTCGCACTAGATTGTTTTTTTTGTATTATTTTACTTTTCTTTCATGTTATAAATAATAATATAAAACCAATTAATTACTAATAAAGTAAGTAAACAATCAACGCAACACCATAATACTCTTCGCAGTTAACCGTCCGCACGCGCATACAGTTAGTAGTTGAGACGGTTGTTATTTGAATAATCATGGCCGGGAATTACTAAATCGACATCGAATGTGCAGTACCACAATTTTCGATTCAGTCGATTGTTTTTTTTTGCTAAAATCGCCCATCGTTGTTCTGCACCTTTACTGCATTCCTCAAAATCTTTTTGCGGCCTTCCCGCAGAACTATTACAGATACCTTGTCTATATTGTGAAGGAAAATTTATAGATGTACATATCTAGCCAGTATATTTACTTTCGAACAGTTTTTATTTCTTGAAACATCTTGTCAGTTTATTTTTAAATTTGAGACATAAAGCAAAATAACTCTTGTTTGATATATGTTATTTGGGAATTCGTCTTCACAGTTTGTAATTTATCGAACTTCAGTTACTAAGCATTCAACTCGAGTTGCGTGATTATAAGAATCACCCGTTAAATTAAAACTTTCTAGATTTCTATGGTGAATGAGGAAGTTTTTGAAATAAACGTTAATTCTCGAAATCAAACTAGATGTCGCTTTGGTCCTTTCTTGATTTCTTCATGAAAACCCTTCAGGTTTTCTTTCATGTATAAAAGTAAATAAGTTTTCAAAACTCAATAGACAACTCATATTCTATTTGTATTGATCCCAATAAAAATAGCCTTGTATTTAAAACGATACATCTTCATCCTCGAAAGGGATGTAAACATTTAAATTATTGATTAAACGTTTTAATACAAATTTTCACTAAATAAATAATAATCGTGATTTAAAGTGTAGCTAAAAATTGTAATAAATTATTCCAATAAACAATCGCTACCTTATTCAAACATGTAAATAAGAGAATAAAAAGTATGAAAAGTAGTAAAGTAAGTAGCAGCTCACCAATCGATGGCTAGGATCATAATTTATGTTACTACTTATAACTTGCATAAAGTTTATTTTTATCGATATTGGCCATACCTATATTGCGCTAATTTCACCTCCATGCGTCGCCGCTGGCTTACGTGACTGATGTGAAACGACACTTTGCATCTAGAATCGATCAAGTTAATTTCAATAGCTTTTTTAATTAACATTACCTTTCTAATAATTTCATAATAAAATACTTTAAAAAAAAAGTTTTTTTTTGTGGATAACGTAATTTTTTACGTCACACGCTGATAAATAGCACCTGTTATTGGTTGTGACGACAAAGAATTACAGGACGTTTTCGTCGTGCTTTAAATGAGGAAAAAAAAAGCACCTCCAATAGATGGCGACTCTAGGAAAAGTTGATTTTTGCAGGAAACGAATGGACCAAAGACAGTAATTTCCGTTCCTTTTAACTATCATATAAAAAAAATGAAATTCGAAACTAATTTACTTTTAAACTTGAAAGAAAACCGGAAGGGTTGTCATGGAGAAAACTAGAACGTACCTTAGCGACATCTAGTTTGATTTCAGGAACTATTTTTTTTAATACTTCCTCATTCCTAAAAATGTTGCATGTTCTTAACACGCAATAGTGTCAAATACCCTATTTACGGCAATTTTTTTCTAGTTAGTCATGGTTCTATGGATCTAGAACAATGGGCGAATTGGCGTTGGGGTCTGTGATGGTCTAGTGAAAATTTAATATTAATTAATAGTCTGTGGCAAGTCGTCAACGTCAAAGTGTTTTGTGATTTTAAGTTTATTGTTATTTCCTTAAATAATAATAATTGTTATTATATTTTTTAGCAAATAAAATGTCGTGTCGTCACGCTTCTCACGCTGGGAGCTGGTACACTGAGAACGGTGAGTAACCCAGTGCTTAATTTAGGGCAAAATTATCTTTTTCTTAAGATATTCATTATATATTCAAATTGATTCATGTTAGTTAGTAGGTAGTTAGTTGCATATTGTTGTTTATTAGCGTGTTCTTACTTCTGTTTTTATTAACCTTGATGCTATGATTTTTTTCTAATAACCTTAAGACAAAGAATGGTCTTAGAGGTGAACGACCTTTCTTTTTCGCTAACTCGACTTTGTAGATATAAATAAAGCATGCACAGGAAATGCATTTCACTGATTTCATTGGCACTCATTAGATTTTATTATTAATTTCTATTTAAAAATAATGAGACTAATAAAGTCTCTAAATATTTATGATTTGTTTGTGTAGAAGAAAATACCTGTATTTGATTTTGTAATAATTATCTCAATAATACTGCAATTGTTTAGTTATAAAATGAAATAATTACGTTCTTTTAAGTATTACAAGTATGGACATTTGTTATTTATTAAAATTAAGCTTTAAGTTATACACTATTCTAGATAATTTCTTGAAATATTATGAAGTTTCGTTCAGGAACTTGCCGGAAACACGCACTGTTTATGTTTAATGTTATTCGTTTTATATTTAATTTGAAATTTAATATTTTTAATAATTGTATTATACACTAATATACACTATAATCAAATTGATCTATTTTTTTTTTATCGTTTTAAAATTCTCGTTGATCTTTTTCTGTGTTCATAATGTCAATATATTGGTTACTGAACGTAACCGGAAAACTGCGTTGCCATGACGACGCCTATTAAAAAAGTTATGTCAATTTGACATTTCATTAACGGCTTTGTTTTCGTGCGTTCGGTTTTCTTGTAGAATCACCTTTCATAATAATGTCTGATAAAACCAAACAGCATTCTGCGCCCGCGAAAGTAACGAAAGTGAAAAGACCGTTTACCGTGAGCGGGCCTTCGTCGACTCGCGCCAAAACGACACCGCCACACGCAGCTAATGAAAAACAGTCTCGTGGTGTCCCGAAAAGGAATACTACACTCATCGATTGTGATACAACAATTCTGAAACAAGAAAATCTCCCGAATTTCGATGCTGAGAGTAGGCAGATTGCGTACGGAAAATTCCTTCGCACGATGCTAGAAGAATGTCTTATTGACGAAAAAATCGAGAGGTCTGAAACTCTTACGGATTTACAAATGACTCAATTGGCTCAAAGATTCAACGAAACTATGAATCAATTGGATAAGACGAATAGGCGTTTGAAAGATATATCGTTTGTTGTTGAACAGAAAAGGTGAGAATTATATTAAATCATTATTGGTTTTCCATTCATCATCATCATCAGCCGTTTACGTCCCTACTGCGGGGGCTCAGGCCTTACTTACGGGCGGTAAAGAAGCATGGGCCATGACCCTCCACATCCAATGTTGGTTGGAAAATAAAGTGCTTTAGGAAATAACTTTTAAATTCTTCTAAATCACAAATATTCATATGTTACATTAATTTTCAGGTTACTAGACTTGAAAACCACTGATTCATCAAAATTCTTTAATACAACCGATGACTCTGATGCACAAGAGCTGTTACATAATCTCAACACCACCGAATCCGTGTGCCTAGACAATTTGGAAACGAAGAATGTAGATTTTGGCTACAATAAAGAGAGTGGTCACAAGCAACTTTTAGATGCAGTTAATGACTGTATAAACGGTCTCGATGAAATAAAGAAACATTCTAATCTTGATATGGACAAGTTTAAAGAATATGAAAAATCTCAAATGAACATTCAAGATTTGGAAAAAGAGCGTTTCGATTTAGAAATGTTGAAGGAAGATTTTGAAAAGAAGTTTCCGAAATTCAATGAAAAATTGTTGAAGGAAGTTTCAGATACCATAGCTAAAGTGATTGAGGAAGGTGAAGATGATTGAGTTTTTTTTTTTTTTAATAATGCCGATTTGTTTGTTATTAAGTTTGTTATATTTTAATAAATGTTTTCATATTCATTTTTTCTTTTCACCTAAAGTCTGCACTGATATTTATGATTTAGGCTCTGCAAATCTGACTCATGGAAGTATCATCTGTTAAGTGTGCAAATCAAATCAAAATTATTTATTCTGTCTAGGCTGTTACAAGCACTTGTGAAAGTTGAAAGCTAAGCCATTGGTTTGTAAATATATTGCAGGAGACCTTGTACCAATATGAACTGGCAAGAAACTCGACAAGGGCTGCTTTTTACACCCTGGTTTATTTCATACAGTGTCAAGATTGAAAAATAATTTCTTAAAATATGAAGTCACTTTCCATTGCAATATTCATCATCATCATCATCATCAGCCCTTTTACGCCCCACTGCAGGGGCTCAGGCCTTCCTTATGAATGGTTAAGGAGGATGGGTCATGATCCTCCACACTGGCCTAATGTAGATTGGAGAGTATTAACAACTGCAAGTGCAGCCGGGACCAATGGCTTAACGTGTCTTCCAAAGCACGAAGTAGCTCGAGATCGAGACCCATCCTGTGACCGACCCTTGCGAAAGGTGCTTAACAATAGTGATCGCGGGCCGCGACGCTTAACCTTTACGCCACCGAACTATTTATTACAATATTAGTGAAAATGAAAGTAAAACAATATTTACATAACTCAAATCCCATGTCAAACAAACTCGCTGATAAATAATTTAATATACATAAAAATAAGCCATATCTAACAGGGTTGAATATCATATTATATGTTTGTTAGTACTGATGTTCCATGACTGACAGGAAACCACATCTTCACAGGGTTCAGAGAGGTAATTATTGTTGATAATTGTAAAACGCAACACAACTCTTTAGGCCATGTTATAAAAATCATCTTAACAGCTGTCAAAAATGGTTTTTCTGATATGGATAATGCCCCTTTTCTAATATTATTTTTTAATTTATTTATAATTTCACTTTAATTTTTAGTTCAATGTGATTTCACTAATCTTTTTTTTTGTTACCAATCATGAATTACCGTGTTAAAAAAATTGTTGCCAGTGTACATGGACAACCCTGCATCTTGATAAGATGTGCAGTGGCTGACCCTATAAATTCAAAGTTTGATATATTAATATGGTATTAATAAAATAATAGAATAAACCCTAGGTTGTATAATGACTTCGCTGCTGGAGCTCAGGTCTTATGACACACATCATTCTCTTGCTTCTGACAGTCTGGCAGCTCCACCTTCTTGGCTTTTGTAATAAGTTATTGATCCCTCCAGTACCATATTTCTATACAGGGTCAAATAGTCATGTAGTTTCATAGATAAATACGTCTTGTGGCGCTGCTGGGCTTACGTCATTCTGGTAGCGCCACAGCTAAAACTCAGTTTACAATTCATTCAAAAAAATTCATCTTTCTTTTCAGGTTATCATTTAATTACTTAACAATACAATCGCAGAGTATTTCACCTCTCTTTTTGTCGCACCTGTATTTCACCTTTCTTTGGAATAGTCAATATTCCAAAGAAAGGTGAAATACAGGTGCGACAAAAGTCTCATATTATTGTGACGAAGCACTTGTTAATAAAGCCTTAAATCTGAATAATTGAGGATTAAAGTTAAGCTATGATTATCTCATCAGAGATTGCTGTCAGCTAATAGAATAGGATTGGACCAACTGAATTTCATTGAATTTCCGTGTTCTTAACTTCAATTAATGATGGAGATTCATGGGCGTAGTGCCGAAATAGAAGAGCCCTCTGGATTTTGAATATTTATCTGTCTACTACTCCGTCCTACTCCGTGCTTCGAAAGTCACGATCCTATCCTATCCTCATTGGGCCAGCGTGGAGGGTCATGGCCCATCCTCTTTAACCATCCATAAGGAAGGCCTGAGCCTTTCCAGTGGGGACGTAAATAAGCTGATGATAAAGTAATTAGAATCCTCATTTTGTCAGCCTGTTGCAGTAGATCTCCCCACAATCTTGCCATCTTCGTGCAGACACTGCCGGCAACCTTACTGACATCCTCAGTCCGTCTTATACCCTCCCAGCATCAGAGACGAGAGTCGACGGTGATTCTACATCGGAGTGGAGACGCCTAGTGGGGTGATGTTTACTCGGCTTGAGATCCTAAGGATCTCGCCGTCACTTAGTCCGGTTACACTTTGAAGCCAACAGTAAACATTGCTCCATAAAAAAAAGTTTGCCGCATGGTCTCCATCCAACATCCCGCCTACTCTACCTCTAGTCGGTTCTCCGACAGATGTGAACAGCCCACTGCCTCTTTAGCTTGTTATACATATGACCTCATTCCGGATTTAATCTGTAAGAGACTCGGGAAAATCTATTTTTGCTGACATACCTATAATTAATTTATATTGTTAATATTGATTTGAAAATGGCATGATTTTTAGGGTACCATACCCTAAGGGTAAATCGGGAACCTTAATATTAAGACTTCGCTGTCTGTCAGTCACCAGGATCTCGAGAACCGTGAAAGATTTTCTCAGATGATGTATTTCTGCCTCGAAACTACTAGAAACTAAAATAAAATAAATATTTAAGGTAAATCTTATACGACAAACTTGATGATTTTTGCTTGTTTCATATTAATGTCATCACTCCCATTAGAGCTGGTGAGTTTCTTGCTCGTTGTTCTTATCAGCCAAAAGATGTCCTGAACAAGTGGTAGAGGAAAAAATGTCGGACGATTCACAAGAACCTTTTAAGAAGTCTCTTTCAATAAAGATCATTGGAACTTTGACTTTGACACGTACTTTTCCATAGCTCGCTGAGTGATACGTAGACGATGGGCCAGCTTCACTGTCGTGTTCCACGTTTAAGCTCATTAAGTCATGACTGGTATTGTATTATATTTTTGGATTGTTCTCAGGTAATGAATTATCAAGGCAGCTAGATCTCTGGTTATCGAAGGCTGACCTGACGCACGGTCCGGCGAGAGCCATCATTGCTCCGTACGTATAAATGAAATCACATTACGTATTATCATTATAAGCCCTTTTACGACCCATCTACAGGGGCTCAGGCCTGCCTTATGGACGGTTAAGCTAGCTCGACGGTGGCCCAGTGTGGATTGGAGGGTATTGACGATAGCAAACGACGGCTTGAAGTGCCTTCCGAAGCACGGAGTAGCTCGAGATAGAAATTTTTTGATCACCCATCCCGTGACCGACCCTTACGAAAGTTGCTTAACTTAGTTTCGTGAAACATGTACACACTACAACACAATAGGGATGATGCCAGGGTAAAAAAATAAATTCTATTATTTATATTTAATTCTTGAATAAGTCATTTTTGAGATAAGCATTATTTTTCACTTTTTTTCAAGTTTGAAATCGGTTCTACTTTTTAAAAGTTTTTATTGCAAAATAAAGTTATTATTATTATTACATTGCAGGCATGCGGGCTATTCATACTGCGGCGCATGCGCAGCGTTCGCGTACCGTCAAATCAGCCCTGTGGTCGTGTAAGTGTAAACCTGAAATAATAATGTGAAATGAGAAAAGGTTTAATATTAAGGTTATATTACAAAAGAATGAGGTATATAACCCGATTCATTCTAACCGGGCCAGATAATTGAATATGCGTCTACTGATAGTTAAGATATTTTTATTTAAAAACATTATTATGATTTTGCGACCTCTGATACTTGCGTCCGGTCGTCCCGTAGTTAATGGCTGTAGATTTGTAGGTTCCTTTTCACTTCAACTTGTATGCTTTGATTTGCTTTGAAACTAAAGCTCTAGCCGGTATAACCATTGCAACAAAAAAAATAAAAGGGTTAATTTTTAATTAACCTCTTCATGTTTTATAAAGAAAATGAAATAAAAAATACAAATTATACTGCCATTTAGAGATTCGAAATAGTTCAACAAAATACAGCATAAGTTATAGAAGTAATTAAATCTGAAAAAAAAATTAGAAAAGAGCATGGGTCCCAATATAGATCCTTGTGGTACTTCATTTTATGGTATTATTATGTTTTTTTTACAGGAAACGCATATTCATATTAGGTCCTTCCCATCATGTTAGATTGGGGGGATGCGCTCTCTCTTCTTTAGATAAGTACCAGACGCCTCTCTATGATCTCACCATAGACAAACAGAGTAAGTGTCATTTTATTTATACATATATAACCCGCCCGATTTCTGAACTGAGAATTTAAAGCTGAGCAGGTCTCAAACCATACTTATTAATTAGAGCGGATTTGAACTCGACTTTACCAACTTTTCGTAAAAAATATCGTAGATGGCTTATGCAGGAGCAGTCTCTGGCGCTGGCATCAGGTCTCCCTAGTCATATTCTATAGATATCATGTTATTTTGTAACGTTTGTGGGGCGGACGTCCCGGTTGTGGCTATTTTTGGATTGTTGTGTGGCTCTGTACTTGATTTATTACAGTAAAACGTAAAAAAAAAATCGTTTATTATAAAGTAATATCAAATATATTACCTATGTGTTGGTTGGAACATCTTGAAGTGGGTCTTCTGCCCTATTAATGTTTATTATTTTTAAGTAAATAATATATTGATTCAGTCCAATTTGTGTACTTGCCTTGAATATGGCTCAGTTGTCTTTGTGTGTGTTGCGAATCATGTCATCTTATTTTATAGCTTTGTTTTTTTTTTTTTGGAAAAGTCTATGACATAATAACAGGAGCAGTGGACTTGCATGTCTGCGGCTACTGAGTCATAGACCGTTTTGTCTTTGATATATGTTTTGAATCTTATTTAAATTCACATTATTGCAGGATCTTAATTATCTATGTAATAAACAGTATATATTGAAATGTTTGAAGGTACCTCTAAGATAACATTTAAAGTAATATGGTTTGCTGTTTTTATGTTTTAAAAAAAAAGAAAAATAAATAATTTTATTATTATTATTAATCCATCTTAAACGTCACTTACACAGGTTTTCTTTTCTGTTTTTTTTTTTATGTTTAGTTGATAGCAGTTTTATAATACTAAGACTTGTTGCCATGTGAAACGTAAAAAACTTAAGTTATTGAGGGTCACCAGTTGAGATTTTGTACTTTTCTCAATTCAAAAACCGTTAATTTCTTCTATTGTTGAGTTTCGATCTCTACGGATAGGTAGAGATAATGTTAGGGGGGGTCAGCGTCCTGGTGACTAGGTCACGGCTTCCCGGTTCTTAGCCCCAGGGGAGGATACACCGTAGGGGTTTTTGTTGGTAGCCCACCGCGCGGCTAGCCACATAATATTGGTGTTAGTTCAATGGCTATGTTAACATGCATTACTTCTGTAGTAGACGAAATAGGATTAATTCGTCGCATTTCTGCTGCAGTTTACGCTGAGTTAGAGGCGACGCGTCAGTTCGAATGGATGGACACGCAGACAGACGAAGAAGAACACTCCATCGAAATGCATTTACCATACATCGCTAAAGTAATGGAGGAGTAAGTTATACAAACAAATGTAACTTCATGAATAATAAACCCCGGCCTATTAATCGAATAGGTATGGGCCATTACCCGCGGCCTCGTTTCGGATTGGTGGGTGATAAAGATTTGTAGATGCAACCGGGACGCATAAAGTTAATATCTGTGTATGGACCAACGCTCTCCTAGATTATTATATTTGATCAATTTTGAAAAATATTTTTAATGAAAAATCCTTAAAAAAACCCAAAAGTCCCATCTCACAGTAACAGGAACAATGTGGAGTACTATATGTTAATTAGTAATTGTAACATTGTAAAAGTGATTGTAAAATGGATATAAAATTTAATTATAATTACGAATGTAAATGATTTCATTAAAACAAAAAAATCTTAGTTATTATATATGATTAATTTTTCATTCATAATTCATAATGCTATACTGAAAAATGTTTTTAATGAAAAATCTTAAAAAACCAACTTTGTCCCTTACACTCTGAGATGGGACTCGAACCCACTACCTTTTGCATTCCGGGCGACCGCTTTAACCACTGAGCTGCACAGGACCTAACAAGACTGACGAATCTTTCAAGCGCTTGTTACTTTTCGCTACTACAGAGCGTATTCTCATCAATGTTCAGGCAATCCACCCAAACAGCCGAAAGAAATATTATTATAAATATTTAAACTGAAAAGATGAAGATGAAAAAGGTAAAAATTTATTCTTATTATACTGGAAAATATCTCAGAGTGCCAGAGACAAAGTGGATTTTTTAAGTATTTTTCATTAAGAATAAAAAAAAATCCCCGAGTGCTTTATTACATTTATTATTTTTAGAAAAATCCAGTGACTTATACAATAAACGAACGAGGCGACTGTTTATCCATAATTATTTAAAAAATACCGAATGCAATAAAGGAGTCGAGTTACTTTTTGTTATTTATTATTAAACTTTTTATTAATATATAATTTTTTAGGTGATTTTTTTTTTTGTTTGAATAAAATATATATTATATGTTTTTAAGGTGCTTATTATAATAAAATTCTGTTATATACGGAATTTAAACAGCCGGGGCATAGTTCTATGATAGCAAACATTGTTAGTTTTATAAATAACCCTGTATAAAATAGCGTAAGTTTTAACTTTCCCCAATACTCTACTATTGTCTGCTATTATGATTTTCATTGTCTCCTGTTTCAGATACAAAACCGGTTTCACAATAATACCGATTTTAGTTGGATCTCTGACACCTGAAAAAGAAGCGAAGTAAGTGTAGATAGATATCTCTAATGTAATATGTATATATATTAATACTTGCTTCTTTAAAGACTTTATCTTTTTCATTAAAATTCTTAAGCTGACTTAAAATGTGATAATTTATCTAGGCACAAGCTATTTGTACACACTCACACACAAACAAAACGTAGCTACGTACTAAGTTCTGTATAAGGTATCCCACCCATTATTAAGTATTATAATAGGGGTGTAGATCATTTTTTTATTATTTTATAGATATACAAAAAATTATATAAATATATGTGTCAAAATAATCATTCATTTAATAAGTAAACATAAATATAAATTTAATTTTAAAAAATTTCCCGCTAAAACGCCATCTTCTGTCATGGCGTCGCTTTGACGTCACGCTCTGATTGCGGTCACGTGATAAAATATTTGATTTTTCATAATGATTTCAAGGAATTGAAATTAGACACTTAGGGCCTAGACACTGGTCCTGCACTGTGATTCTATAAAAATCCGAACCCGAATTCGAATTCACTCATGTGTCCTGATTCACGTCATTTAGTGTAGAAATTTTATTAATTCCATTTTTGTATAAAAATACAAAACAAAATCGATTGATTCATACGCGTCTCAGATATTCTATTCCTATGTCGTTTCGAAACTCACTTCACTTATGCCACGAAATGTTATTACCAACTAGCTGACCCGGTGAACTTCGTATCACTTAACTCTTAATAAAAACCATATTAATACTGAAAAATATTGCGTAAACTGACCACTGCCATAAAGCACGACCTATATTGCTCGTCAACTGAAAGTTTCACAGCTAAGAACAGTTTGTATGGGAAAATCAAATTGTCGTTTTTAGTATTATACTCGCAATTTTGAAAACCTTCCCTGGACTTCCACGAATATTTCAAGACTAAAATTTTTCAAATCGGTTCAGCAGTTCTCGAGTTTTAGCGAGACTAACGAACGGAAATTCATTTTTATTTATATATACGATCTTGAAGTGAATTCGGAGTGTATTCGAATTCGGGTTCGGATTCTCGCAGAATCGCAGGGCAGGCCTGTTATTTAAAGTATCTTTGTGTCGGTAAGGTACGGGGCGATATTGGCACCGTATCTAGCTGACCCACAGAACTTGGTGGTGATCTCGTCCGACTTCTGCCACTGGGGTCAGAGGTTCAGGTACACGTGGAGGGACAGCTCCAGGGGTGATATTCACCAGAGTATCGAGTGGCTGGACAAACAGGTGGGATATAATGGAAGCAATCACGAGCCCCCAGACCGTTAGACTAACTGTAGACATGGGATACGATATCTTATCGATGTTATGACGATATTTCGTTTCGTTTAATCACTTTGATTTTATTGTTTCATAATTACTCTTTGTCATTTGTTCTGGGCCGTATTAGAGTTTTTTTCGTTACGGTTCATAGCCAATTTATATTATTTTCAAATCAGTGTTAAATAATGTAAGAAATAAAATAAGCCACGCTTTTGACTAGACATGATTTTAAACCGACAAATATAACACTGTTTGGGGGGGGGGTGATATTAATAAGATTAGGTCACTCCACTGAAGTCTATAGATCGATTCCCTGTCGACCTTCGTTGTCTTAGATATTGCAGAATACTGGAACTTTAGCTAGTCATTTTGGAATCTGAGTAATGTATCTGTGTGATTTTTTTTTCAATTAATTATATGTAATTATATATTTTAATTGAATATAAATATATCTTATAATTAAATATTATTATATTACAGGGTATGAATATAATAGAGAAGATGGATCCGCGAGCTTTTACAGATTATCTCAATAAGTATGGCAACACGATATGCGGCAGACATCCCATCGGAGTGTTGCTACAGGTAAAAAATTTTAACCGTTAAATATTATGTGTGACGTTACGCTGAGGGGGGAGAAGTGGGGTAGTGTAGTCGGGCAAATGCCTTCCCTTCGGATACATTACACGGGCCATAACAGAGCACGCGGGCCCAGTCCGGAATGGTGGGTGTTGTCGACGGCAAACGAAATCGAGACCAGCACGACAACGCGCTGATGAAGAGTAAAAATATCACATCGGTCACCCATCCCACAATTGGCTAACGCGAAAGTAAAAACTTTTGCAGTCTCAACGAAACTCGATCATACTTTTTTATATCAATCATGCATCTCGACTTCGAAAATGCCGGAAATTAAATAAAAAAAAAAAGACGGTCACCCATCCCATTTTCAGCCTTAGTGAGAGTTGCTTAGCTTTTTCAATCTGCATTTTTTTTCAGTCAATCGCGAGACTACAATCTCAGCCCGACTCGCCGCGTATGTCTTTGAAATTCTTGAAATACGCACAATCCTCACAGTGTATGAGTATGCACGACTCGTCAGTTTCGTACGCGAGCGCATCGCTGGTGTTCGAATGAGTCGTATAAGTCTTCGAAAATAACATTAGCAATATGTTAAAAGTTAAATCACATTGCTTTAAAAACACATATAATCGCTTGCTTAGGGGCCGTCCATTAATCACGTGAGGCTCGAAAGGGGGGGAGGGGGAGGGATTCGTAAAAAATCACGAAATATCAGAGGGGGTGTATGGGGGTGTAGTAATATATCGCGTTTATTTATTTTTTTCTCGACGCGCAACTATTAAACCGAAAAGCGACGTCAAAAATTGTGATTTTTTTGTTTTTTTTTTAATACACGTGATTTGGTTGAAGGAGGGAGAAGGGTAGTCTTAAACCTCACCAAAGGGGTGGGGGGGGGTCAAAAAAATGTTGAAAATAACATCACGTGATTAATGGACGGCCCCTTACGGGCATCCCTAGCTGTCAGTTACCTGTCACTGTCACTTTGACATCTGATTAAAATCGCGCCAGTACACTTCAGTTTGTCTGACTGTACAATTTCAATGTCTATCGCAATCTCTGTCAAAAGTATAGCGGTTGTGACAGAGATTTAAGGTAGAACGTACCATTTGAAGCCGAAGATCATAATGATTAAGACACATGATAAAACATTGTAACTTATTATTAACTTAAGTGATTGCGATAGATTTGAGATTTAACAGTTAGAGAATTAGCCCACAAAACTTATTCAATGCAAACAAACAAAAGTTCCCTTTTTACAATCCTATTAATATTATAAAGGCGAAAGTTTGTAAGTATGGATGTATGGATGTTTGTTACTCTTTCACGAAAAAACTACTGGACGGATTTGGATAAACTTTACAGCAATATAGGTTATACATCAGAATAACACATAGGGTACTTTTTACTGGGAAAACTTCTCACTCCCACGGGATACCGACTTCCACGCGGACGAAGTCGCGGGCGTCCACTAGTATTATTATAATTAAAGCAATGTGATTTGATTTTGTCTGGAGTTGTGTAATATTGTAGTTTAGACAGAAATATATAAGAACCTTATCACATGGACATAAAGATTAAAATTATACAATGATTTTCAATGTTAATCAATATTTAAGTCGCAATTTTTAAGCTGCTAATAATATTTTTAATGAAAAAAAGGTTAAAAAATCCAATTGGTCCCTGGAACCCTGAGATGGGATTCGAACCCACGACCTTACGTATTATAATAAAGTGGATTTGATCAATTATGCTTATAATATTGTTACGAGCTAGGTTTCGGTATAAGAATTAAAAGTTAAAAAGATACACACCTCGACTTCACTATTTCACATCACTACTGTTACTTCACAACACTTGTTGGTTCGTCCAGATAGTTCACTTCACTAGTTATCGCTTGGAATTTCGCTTGGTTTCACTCTCTCGTCAGGTCGCTTGATCATTTAAAGTAAGCCGACTTTGCCAACATCTAGAATGTTCTAGGTTGGTTCTGGCCCTACTAGTGTATTGCCTAAATGTTCTTTGACCCCGGCCCTTCCAGTGTATTGCTTAAACGCTCTAGAACAACTACCAGTAACGTCCGTCCCTTTCTTACCTAGTGACCGTCCCTCTCGCCGACGTATATATAATGCGTAGTATCGACAGTGCTACCGCGATCCAGCGGTGCATAACGCCATCTAGTGATGTGTAGACGAATCACACCACTGCGCTCCGTAACAATATGTTAAGGTTTAAAATATTTTGGAAAGTTATAGTTCTGGCAAGTGTATTTGATTTTATACCTTAAAGAATTGTGGATAGACTTGAAAATCGATAATATGACGTTTTGTAGTGATATAAAATACTATACACAAATGAATAACTTAATATTTTGATTAAAATTTTTAATAAGAACTTAATAATAAATGAGAATTCTCTCGTCGTTCTATAAACCTATTTTCTTTGGTCTTTATGATCGTGTGATAAGGTTCATAATAAGGTTTATGTTGTATTTATTAGTTTAAGTCACAAATCGTATACTTTATAAAGATTTTGTCTCATTTTTTTATTATTTAAAAAAACGATATGAAAAATACTACCCGAAACTTTTGTATAATTTATGAAATAAAGTGGTGGGGATGTGTTCTGTCTTTGTCATTAGACACTTAAGGCTCACTCTGGCGTCACTGTCCAGTAAGGTAAGTAATTTTAGCATCTGGCTCTCTTTTGGCTATTTGGGACTTTGTCGATCTAACTTACCTAAAGGCAGTTATAATTACTTTACCGTACACGGCCTTTAAAATGTTGAATTATGGCAATGCTTATACCGTTGCCAGCTACGATGGATAAAAGTTCACTTCGTTCTATCATTTAAAATGGCCAAAATCTGTTCATAATATTAAAAAGGCCAAAATAGAGTCATAATGTTAAAATGGCCAAAATCGGGTCATAATCTCATAATGACCAAAACCGGTTCATATTCTTAAAATGACCAAGTTCTGGCTATAATCTTAAAATTGCCAAATACTGGCCGTAATCTTGAAAGGGCCGAAATCTGTTCATAATCTTAAAATGGTCAAAATCGGGTCATAATCTTATAATGACCAAAACCGGTTCATATTCTTAAAATGACCAAATTCTGGCTATAATCTTAAAATTGCCAAATACTGGCCGTAATCTTGAAATGGCCGAAATCTGTTCATAATCTTAAAATGATCAAAATCTGGTCATAATCTTATAATGGCTAAAATCGGGTCACCTATCTGTAATAGAGATTTTCATACAATATTATTACACGGCAAACAGGGAATTATGCATTTTCATTCAAATTATCAACCTACTTTTATATGTGACTAATTGTCTTAAATTAAAATATATCGCAATTTTGAAATTAGGACATTAGCTCACTGTTTTTGAAGTAGGAACAACTAGCAACTTATATAGTTAGTAAAAAGTTTTTTTTTCTCACTAATTATTATATGTAGTACGCACAAACCTTCGCTGCAAAACGCTGGATTCTAACACCGTTCGGTGTTAGAACTTTTTCATTCCGCGCCTGGGTGTTAGTGGTACCTTAGTTTACGCTTATATACGACTACTTTGAACAAAACGATATACAATTAACATTTACTTGTATATCTGCGTTTGTATTAGAGATTATATGAAGTTAATGTATAATAATGATGTATAACAAAATTACTTACACGCATTGGTGAAACATCAAATTATAATTGCCGCTGGTGGGCTGGGGGGTTGGGTCCTGGGGGCCTCTGAACGGGCTGCCGCCATCAGCCAAAATCATAATAATAAAGTTATAAATCTAGGATGTAGAGTGTAACGCAATATTAAGTTCCTCCCCTGGTTGGAAAAGTTTCGATCCGGGCCTACTGTCGCCCCGGGCTACTTGACACTTATAACATTATAAATTATGATGTTTTTGCAAAATTAATTGGATGGATTGCAAGTACCGAAACACAGGCATAACGTAGCATCGTGTGACGTCACATTTCAATAAACTAAACGTCGACTGTTGCGAGCGCGAACGCATGTTTACTGAAGTGTGACGTCACGGTTCGAAATGTCACGAGGTTGGTTTCGCGGGGCAATTAATGAATAAAAATATGTTTTTTTTTCTTTCATTTAATAATACTGGAGAAAAATCAATCTGATAGCGATTTAATACCATATGAAACTTAATTTTATCCAAATTAATAAATACTTATCCCAAAACATTCAAGTTAGTCAATTATTGTTTTTTACATTGTTAAATTGTCATACATAAAATAATACACCTATGTTACTGTGGAATATTGTTTTACATTCTTATCTATTTAGTTACATCACGATTGATTTGTTTCTCTAGATGCGGACTCATCATTAATAAATTAAATTAGTAACAAATAAAATCTTATTTTTTAAACAATGTCATTTTATTTCTTTAGCATAGCTATTCCTAAAGTTTCCAGGCAACGGTCATACGGAAATTAAAAAAAAATAAACATCGGACCATTTATTAACTGACTTTCATATTCAATTCGACAGTTTTTTTTTTATGTATGTTTCACGATAACTTCGTCAACAGTAGATTTTGAAGATAATTTTTTTATTTGAAAGAGTATCTGGTCCCACTAAAAATGGACCAGACATTTTCCTTATATATCAAACTAGTTTTACCCGCGTATGAGGTAGCCATGCTGCAGGTGACAGAATTTTAAAAATCGGTCCAGTTTCGGCGCCTATTCAATAAAAAGTTTTCTTCTTAAAATTTAGTCAGGTAATTTCAATTTGAAATAAGCAGTGCCCTTGTACATATGTCTGTTACATTTGTTCACCTGAAATTGTACGTGTGTACGTACAAAATAAATAAACTGGAATTACACCAAAAGGACGCTCCACGAGAAGAATTTGGATACTTGTTTCGACGTTCATATATTTAAGATGGCAGTTAAAAAAATGTTCGATCGCCGATAGTGCAGGGCCGATTAGATAAAAAAAGACTAATTAAAATGTTATAAATAAGTAACTATTCGTTTAAATAATCTCTGTTTTATTAACTGGATGTCTGGATTTACCAAAAGTCATAGGCCACCAATTGGAATACCCGAATAGAGTAGACAACAAGAAAAATAGAAACACTCCCACGTGCACAGCGACTTTGACAGCCAATTCGTGTACCGAACTGTTCTCTTTCCGCTGCGAATCGACAGATGGTGCTTTTAACTGTTTTATTCTATAGACATTCTTGTAACTCTTCGATTTTGCAGGCATCTTATAGTCATGTTTCGTTATAAAAGACCCGTCTATGTCCACTTTATACCATGATTTGTGTTTGTCGAAGTCATTTCTCGATATTGGCTCTTGAATTATTTCGGTTTCGGCGCCAACATTATTCTTATTACTGTTTGTGACATCCATTCGGTTTCTATCACGCAGCTTGTGATATTTTGGTTTTGTATAAACAAAGAATTTATATTAAGACATGATCCACCATTTGGAATTGGAAATGACAGATGACAGAAGTCCAAAGAGATAGACTAGAAGTAAGAATATTTATCCAAGGACACCATAAAGATAAAAAT